GTTTCACTGTGCCGAGTACACCCAGACCAGGAGGGTTTTGGTGCTCCAGTGAAGCACATTTTCCTACTTTCCTTGCTAATCAAAATGGTCAGAAAAAAAATCAGAATTGCACTGGATGCTTGGACAATTTAAGAGAGGGATTGTCTGCAGAAAGTGACCTGATAAGAACCCAGAATAAAGTGCTTGAGCAGATGCAATAAAGCCAAAGCACGTCCAGCTTTATTTTGTTCCAAGTAATTTCAAGTCATATGTTTATAGCAGTATATTTATAGATAGGCATGTACACATATGCCTTTATAGTATTAAACTTTAAATGAACATTACATTTTCTTTCTCTTCACAGTAAGGCAAATAAATTGGGTTTTTCCCCCTGTAAAGTAAAATTATTCCAGTTTTAAAGAAAAACTGTTTCTATTTATAGATAGGCATGTACACATATGCCTTTATAGTATTAAACTTTAAATGAACATTACATTTTCTTTCTCTTCACAGTAAGGCAAATAAATTGGTTTTTCCCCCTGTAAAGTAAAATTATTCCTGTTTTAAAGAAAACCTGGTTTTGGCAGTTTCCCCCAGTGTGCAAGCTAAATATTCTTTAGTATCATACAGAAAGCTTCAGCAACATTGAATATTAAAAAACTAATCAGGGCCTCCAGAATAATGGTGTAGAATATAAAAAATAATTTTAAAGTGGTTAGATTTGTTAAATACTGGGTTCTCCTCACCTGTTCTGTGTTCTGGATTCTAAGTGGAACCAGAGACAAGAAACTTACTCTTTTAAAAGGAACTTGATTTTCACATAATCAAATTATCCCAGGAAAAGATGCTTTTAAAAAATGAGTATTCTGTGTTTCAGGATAAAACCTTCACATGAAACAACAGTGGTTGCAGCTTATGATGATTTTGTTTCATTAGGTCCTATAAAACACCTGAAGCAATTCCAAGCTTCTCAAGGTCAGCTAAGAGCAAACACAAGAATTAGTAGTAACAAGGTCAGGGAATGGAAATATCTGGGGGTTTTCTCCCCCCTGAATTTAATTTGCTGCCTTGAAGGACAGACCTTGCTGTAGCCTTTCTGCTGAGTCACTTCTCCAGAGGATGCCAATTTTAGGGACTCATTAAATAGAATATCTCATCCCAAGGAAAGTCCCAAGAGTACTTCAAAGTGTTCTCCCTCTCCAGGCCCCTCTGCAGTGGTTTTATCCCAGAGTTTTCTGGTGTAATGATGTTTTTTTCCCTTTGGGTTGGATGTGCTGAGCAGTGGCTGTTTCAGTGACCCCTCTTAGATCCTGATTGTAACTCTTATATGGGATTGGGACTTTTGGGGGGCTCTGATGGGACTTCTGTCCTGTCTCTAGTGGGATGATCTGAATTTCTTCATTATATGGTAAGTATTACCATATAATGATAACGCTGGTGAATTTTGTCACTTCAGCTTTCCTACCCTGTCTCCAGTTCCAATTTGCAGTTCTCTCAGCCTGCCTGTTCAGATCAATAACAGATTTCCTCACCTCTAAATATGTCCTTTTTTTTCTGTCTCTACATGCCTTCATTACTGCACATTGATGATATTAAATCTGTGTTTTACCAAAGACAGTTTGAGCTCCATAAAGAACTGATACAAATATCATGGACGAGGATATATTGCTATTAGAGAATGTTGTAATTCTGTCATTTTATTCCTAACTAACATAACCTTGTTACTAATGACTCCTCTCTCCTCAGCCTCACAAATAATAAAACCTTTTGTATATTTATTTCATGGTCAGACTCAAACTTGAGCTCACCAGAGCTGTTCCTTTGCTACTCCACATTTTTGCTGAACTTTTTGCTCACCCTTCACCTGGGACTGTTCTCTGGGTTGGCATTCACATCATGTCCATGTATAACATAAACTTACAGAAATGTTTGCCCACATCTGGGTGGGTTTTTGTGTATGAGGAGGTTCCTAAATGGTATTTGGCACATTCTGGAGTGTGTCAGTTATAACAACTCCTCCTTTATTTCGCTGTCATTGCATCCCCGAGTCCAGGCTCCCCCTCCACCCCCTCTGCTGCCCCTGGCGCTGGCTCCTTCCCTCCCCTCTGGTTGCCAGGGTGACTGGGTTTCCCTGATGCAGATGCTCTCTCCTGGCTCCCTGCCATCCCTCTCCCGGAGACAGACCCGGGTTTTCACTTTCCCTCGCATGCTGAGGACTCCTGGCTGCTCTTCTGCCTGCTCTTTGCTCCCTTCTGAGCAGACCTGGCTCAGCAGCTGCCCAAAGGACCAGGGCTCTGCTGTGCCTGCAGGGTGGGATCAGCAGCTCTGAGCCAAGTGAGCCAAGTGGAAGGCACCTTGCATTATTTTTCCTTTTTTTTTTCCTTTTTTTTTTGACTCTGATCCTTCTTGAGCTGGAGTCCAGCCAGTTTTCACTCTCTCAATGTGGCTGTGGTGAGGAGGAGCAGGACCCTAGAGTGGTACATATGCAGCAGAGGTAAAGCCTTTTTTGTCTGTTTTTCAGAATGGGTCATATGGATAAATTCAATTTCCAGTGTTAGTGAGACTGGAAAATGGATCCTTGCAGTACTTTTAAGGATATTTACCTCAGAGCTTTTGCCAAGCTTTAACTCAGAATTGACTAAACCTCAAAACAGAGCATCTTTGAATTCAGGTGTGGAATTTCGGGTTGTTCAGAAACTTTGTGAAGGAATTTGAGTGTTTTCTGTCACTGAGCAAACAGATATCGAATCATCTTTGTGTTCAGCCCTAAAAGCAAAAATTTCAGGTCCTGCATGCCTGTTTCAGGTTGCTGGTAAATGTGGCCCCACCTTGGAATCTGAGGTCAGTTCTGAGTTAGAAATCAACTGCGAGTTGATTTTGCGAAGTATGACTCAGCTGCAGCCAAGAAATCCTAATTTTAGTCAATTAACTTCATGGAGATATTTGTCCAGCTCTAGTTAAATTGCTCTTTTGAGATTCCAGTAAGGAAATTATATTTGTTGCAGACTAAGAATTTAGGGATGGAAATTTAGGGATGCCAAAACTGCTTGTTAGTAGTTCAGATTCTCTGCTTTTCCACAAGGCAAGAGTATTTTGTCTCATATATTTCCCTATGTTTCCTAACATCACATAATTCATAGAAAGGGACTTTTAATACTCTGTATTCTGGGGCAGAATGACAAAGTGCATTAGGCTGGTGCTGTAAGTGTAAATTACAGAATGTTTACAAATATTTGGACAAATGTGGTCCTTTCCTCAAGTTCATCCTTCATCCTCTCCCCTGCACTTTCAGTCCATCTTTTGAGCTTGTTTCAATGCAGTTTGCTTGTTTTGAAAGTACTGATATATATGCAAATCTCTAAGTAGTAATGTCATCCTTGTTTTATAGGAAATCCAGGAACAGCAGCTTCACTGCAGCTCCCAGACACACTTATAACCCTCAGCATGCTTTTCTTTCTAATTTAGTAATTTATTTTTTAAACACACAACCCCTTACATCCAGCAGAGCTCTGCTCATATGCTGGGTCTTTTGCATGGGACTTATTTATCAAAGCTTTTTGTGCAGTGGTTGGGAAATGAAGATAAAAAGCATTGAGCCATTTCCATTAACAAAGTTAGTGGGAAGCACTTGCTGGAGCAGAGTTTGTAATGTTTGTACATCGAGCTGGAAGAAGGATGTTCTATATTTAAAGTACTTCCTTGGAAGAAGCATTGGAACAGTGTTAACAGCTTTTCCTGTGAAAACAGTTTTTCCTTTTTTCAGCCAAAAAGGAATAGAATAGCTGGGGAAGGCTGCAAGAGCACCAGGCTTATTCCTGACAGGTTGGAGCCTTCCTTAGCAAATGGAAGTTAATATTCAAGGGGTTAAAAAGGAATAGGGAATTATCTTAAATTTCAGCCTCCTGTGCAGTCCTCAGCACTATCCAAAGACATCAAATATCAGGATGTATTTTAACCATGACAAGGCTGCTTTGACCAGTGAAATAAATACAGATTTTTGTCTTGTGCACACCAGGCTGTGCTGTAAATGTAAAAATTACTTTATTCATCAATATGTGACACTCTGAGGAGAGTCTTGTCTTACAGCAGGGGGTGGGACAGGGGGTTTATTTGACACAGATTTCCTCAGCACTTTTGGAAGGGCAATCTGCAAATGAAGTGCAGGATTCATTACAGAGATTAGTCAAGGTTATTTGATGAATTTGGACATTACCACATCTGAAATAACTTTGGATTCTTATTTTTCCTCTGGTCTATTATTACAAAAATAAATCTTTTAAATGTTAAAATATTTACAGCAATGTTATAGAGAAGATCTTTTATGTGTGGTACAGGCTTGATTTACTTGCCCTGAATTAATGTGGATGAGTTCTTTGAGAAGGGTTTAAAGGTAGTTAGCAGTTCAGATAGTGCTTGGTATTGCTCCTACAAAATGTACATATATATGGGGCAAATACAGAATTCTCTTCGCATGGAATGATGATTTTTTTGGAGGCACAGCTTTTATGTATCAGTATGTGCAAAAATACTTCATCTGCCTCTCATCCTTCAATCTTTATCCAACTACTGAAATGTAACATATAAAAATTAATGAATATTTCTCCCTCTTTAAGCATCTGAAAGTTTTATCACAAGGGAAGATGCACAGCTGTTTTAAAAGTAAAGACGTCAGAGGAAAATATTTCTGTAGCTGATGTGTCCAGGGAAGAGATTGCCTGTAAATAGAGAGTGAAGCACCTTGAAAACTCCACTATGTCAGTTTGAGAGTCAGTGCTAACAAGTTAATCTTACACTGGCAGCTGCTTCTCAAGAAGGAAAAACCACCCTATATTGGGGAGCTGAAATATTGCTCTGTCCAAAACTTTCTTGTATTCTAGCTAAAAATCAGTATATTTGTTCCCATTATCCTTAACATGGTATCACTTGAAAATGATAGAACTAATTGGAGCCATAGCTGCATTTTCTGTCCCAGAGTGTGCCATTAGTTCTGGGGTGAGAGCAGTTAAGAAGGACTGACTTACCCTGTCTTCTTCAGCTCTTAAATCTGGCATTGTGCTCACACAAAGGCTGACAGCCGTGGTGGCCACAAAGAGGATGGAGAGACAAGCAAAGACTTTGCCTGGCAGTCCTGACTGGGGATTTTCCACCATATCTCTGAGTCTGTTCATGAACTGCCCAAATCTGGTTTTCTCATCCAAGACACACGAAGCTTCCTTGCTCCTCCGGAGCTCCTCTTCTTTGCGGATCTCGGCCAGCTCCTGCAGCTTCTGGAAGAGTTTCCGAAAGCAGCAGTTCTCCAGGTTGGATTCCTCAATGCCCCAGTACCTCAGCTCCTCCTGGAAAGACAAGGCACACATGTCTCTCAAGAGCATCAGCTTCCCTGCTGCTAGGAAGCTGACAATCATCCCGAAAGCGTTGGGGTTCCTGTCGAAGAAGAACTCGTGGGTGTCCTCATCGTAATCGTCACACAGCTGGATGATTTCTTCATAGCTGCTGCAAAGCTTTAGTTTGCTCAGTCTGGTCAGGGGAAACTCGTCCAAAGTACTCCAAGGCAGCAGGTACTTGATGCCCCCAACGTTGATCATGATCTCTGTCTTCAGATCGACTGCAGACACTTGGTCAGGGCGGTAAATCCTCCTGGCTCTCTGGTAATGGACCCCCTTGACAGAAGGGGTTTCCACGCAGATGGGAAGGAAGTGGCTCAAGGAATTGCAGGAGTTGTAGCTAATGTTGCTATAGTCTTGGTCACTGCCTCTGGAGAGAATAGGCATCTCTAAGAGTTCTCACCGGGACATCCAGAACGGCATCAGAGCAGGGGGATCTGTCAGCCCGAGAACAGGGAGGAGGAGAAAACATAGCAGAGGTTACGGCGAGAGAAAAGGTGTCTCCAGCCACTTTCCTCAATCAGGAAATCAATGAGTGCCTGTTTGGTAAGTAAAAGTCACCTCTGTGCCTCCTCCTGAAGCCTGCAGCCCGTGAATGAGCTTTGCTTTGCTGCCTCATTGGTTGTCTGGCAACACAGGCACGGAGCAGAGCTCCAGCCTCATTCATAATTATCACCGGGGCTCGGCTGCCTGCAAATCCACACGGGAACACCTCGGGCTCTTCTCCGAGCAGGTTGGGCACCGTTAGATGTTATTTTATCCTTATTTTCCGGTCGTTGTCGCTTCGCTTTCTTGTTTCTATAAACCCCTAACCACGGGCTAACTTAACTAAGCTGCTTAATAGTTATTAGCGGCAGAGTGGTCAATTACCTGCCATCAGCTGGATGCGAAGTTCTAATGCCTTTAACCGGACTGCTCAGATCGAGATTCCTCTGCTCTCGCTGCAAGCCCGTTCTGCCTCTCGGGGGGGTTGCAAGGATTAGCTGGGAGAGGTTTAAAAATGCCTTAAATTCTGTCTAAATGATGACTGCTCTGATCAACCCCACCTCGTGCCAAATTACTGAGGAGTTAGAGGGGAACCTTTGCCCACCGCGGAGAAAACTTTGTTATAAGCAGGCAGAAAGTGTTTTCTCACCTCGGAGAATTTAAACACTCCCCTTCTCCTTTCAGGGACAAAACCCTGGTTTTACCCGTAGTCTCTAGAGATTAAAAACCCCCTTTTTTACCCTAAATCAGCCAAGTGCAGACTGCAAGGAAAGTTTCCCGAAGTGACTTACCGGCGGAGCGGGGCTGCCCCCAGGTGATGCTCACCTGCCGCGCACGGCAGCAGCTCCCGGGGGCATCGTCCGCCTTGGGTTACATGGAAAATCCCTGGAGCACTCCGCAGCTCTCTCCTCTTCCTCCTTCTCCTCTTTCCTGCAAGGGGAAAGCAGCCGTGTGTGTTGATGTAACATATGTTGTGCTAAGGGATCCTCCCAAAGGTGTCCTGAGCCGCAGCTCCTTCCTCTCCTGGGCTTTCCTGGTGGGAGATGCTGAAGGAGAGCTGGTGGATCCCTGTCCCTCCCCTCTTTCCTGCCCTCTCCCTGTCCCTCCTCTCTTTCCCCCGGGACTGTCGATGTGGTCCTGGAAGAGGAGGGGAGAGGGAAGGGGGAAGGGCTTAGGAATAATCTCTCCAGCATCCCTCCGTGCATCCAGCAGGCAGCAGGCAGCAACTGGGGAAGAACATGGAGTACAAGTCCCCGGCTAATGAGGTTTGATAATCAGTAAATTCTGGCAAATCTACTTAATAAAACAATTTCAGTGTCTATTAACTCCTTCCATCATAGTCATGCTACAGTCGCTTGGTCTGGAGAAACCACTTCAGTTTCTCAGCAGCAGTTTCCATGACCTGCACCCCTCCCAAACGGGGATTTGCTCTTTAATATCCCTAGATGGAAAGGGGAATTTGTAGGGTTCATGGATGCTGTGCCTCAGCATTCCTTTGGCTGTTTGGGAAGTGCTTTCCTTCCATAAAAGAAAGGACCTCTGGTTTGTAAAGCAGAGGTCTCTTCTCCAGACCTGCAGTGCTTTTCCAACAGCCAAGAACTTTTTCCTTAGCTCTTTACAGATGATGGGAAATCAAACCTTATCATTATCTCTTATCAAACCTTATCATTATGCTCTGCTCATGCATGGCTGTAGGGGGCTGGGCTTGCTGTAATGCCTTTGGGTTCTGCAGCTGGAGTGGCACAGATTTCACACAAATTCTCTTTGCTTTCACACAAATTCTGTTGGCTTGACCTCAGTCAGAGGGTCCAAGAAAGCTGGGTCAGGTTCTGTGGACAGGTACCCCTGTGGGGCTCCCCAGAAAGCCTTGGCTCGTGGCTGGAGACCCTGAGGTGAATCTGTGGGGTCTAAATGCCACACTGGGAGCATGAAGGTCACCAGGAGAAGTGGGATGGGGACAAAGTGCAGGTGCTCCTCACCCCTGTGAGGTGTGAGGCGCTGCTGCAGCCCCGAGCTGCTGCTCCTCAGCTTTTATCAGCGCTGAGCACGGCTGTGGCACAGCCTAGGACAGGAAAACTTTGCTAATTGGGCTTTTGGGGCACATCTCTCCAGGCCCACGAGGTACCCACCAGATTAACTTCTTATCAGGCCTCACCACTGGGGTTTTCACTCAAACCCTAATTATGCCATCCACAGAGAAAGACCAGATAGATGCCTGAAGGCTACGGAGTTCTGAGAGCACAGCTCAGAATCACTTAAATCCTGCACCTTTGTGCAGGACTCAGCTTGCTCTGCCCATCAGTCTTTCCTATGGATTATTTCTGCTAAGAAAAAGTAAACCTATTCTAATTAACTTTGGATGGATTGTTTCACAAAAGGATAAAACCAATTAGCATTTCCTTCCTACCTTGTGAAGCCCTTGCGTGGTGTTGTTAAAGGTTATTTTTCTGAAACCAGCTGACAAGAAGGTGAATAAATCCAAAGCAATAAGCAAATGCTGTGTGCAATTGAGTGATTTAAATACTACATTTATTTATCAAGAAATAAATGTATTTTAAGTTTTCTAAGACTGGGTACTCTAATACTTGTTTTATTGGAAAATGCAGCTGTGTCTGTAGCTAGATCAGGACCTTGTTGCTGGCTAGAATCATACAAATATCTGTCAGAGAATAGATAGAAATATCCATTCTGAACTTGATTAATGGGAGATGAATGCACACAAAAGAAAAATACCTAATTTGGTGTCTGAGGAAGCCAGGTCTGAAGGACTTAAACATGCACCTCACCCCAGAGGTGTCCTGTCCTGGCCAGGCTGTTTCTGCCCTCCTGGACCCTTCTGCCACATCTGTGGGAGATCCTCCTCAGCACTGATATCTCTCTGCAGGTGAGAAAGGCAAATTCCTGCCTCAGTCCTAACAACTGCTGATGTGTTTTTTTACTTCTTAAAAATTTTTCATCACTACTGCTGTGGTTTTCCTTTTAAATTCTCCGTGCCCTTTTCGATATGAAGTTGATAATCCTTAATTTCTTTCTCTGTTCCCTGTTTCCCTCACAATTTCTGGAATTGCTCCCTCCTTGCTCTTTAGCCATCTGGTTATATCAGCTCCTTACACACCCTTTATGCCTTAAACGCAGTTTCCATATGCTTTGCTGATTTGTGGGCATGGATGACATTCCTCTCTCCTCCTTGCTTCCCTCCTTTTCTATTCTCCTGTGATTTGGTTTAGTCCTTTGCTGGAATCCTGAATGATGAGAATTTTAAACTTTCTGTGCTGAAGGGCACAGACCCACAAGAAAATTCTATCTTTGACCTGAGACCGTGGAGAAGGCTTCTGAAACTAAATGATAGCACTGGGATTGTGGGTGTGGAGTTTGATTAGAAGTGTGTAATATCACAGGGTGGAAAACTTAGAGTTTGGGGTTTTAGAATATAATAATATATATGGGGCAAGATGGAGGTTTTGTGGTGGAGGCAGGTTGTTCTTCTTCATCTTCCTCTCTATGGGTTTGGGTGGTGTTTTGTATTTGGACAGAATTGTTGACTTTGAGTGATCAGTTATTGGGTTCAAAGTGAAAATAATTGAGGTGTCATTGCTTAATTGGACAGTTTAGCCTTAAAAGACCTGGTATAGGAAGATGTTAATTTTGTAGCTTGTTAGTGGAATGCTGTAGGACTCAGGACTTGTAATATAGATAAGAAATAATAAACACCTGAGTCTGAACACAAATATCGTCTGGAGAGCTTCAATCCCGAGGCAGAGGTAGAAAAAAGAAGCCAAGAACTGGCAGCCCTTCCTCTCTCCCTGCTGCTGTACAGCCAGGACAAGGTGCTGCTGCTGAGGAAGGAGCAGAAGGAGGTGCTTGCCCAGCAGGCTGGAGCCCTCATGGCTGTGCTGGCACAGCTGAGACCCTGGGACACGCACAGGAGAACCTGGCAGAGCTGTCCTTTCAAGGCAGCTCATTTCCCCTGCAGATTTCAGTAATGGAAGCCCTCACAGGACTTTTAGTCAGGGACTGATAAGAGTTGATGCTGTAGGAGATGGCAAAGCTGGTGGTGTTCACTGTCACTTGCTCACCTGTGATTTCATCTCTGCTGTTTTGCTCTCTGCAGCTGTGCCAGCATTCTGTATGAAGAGCAGATACAGACAGAAAATTTCAGAAAACAGAGATGGTTTTCAGAAAACAGAGATGGTTTTCTTTTTCCCACAGAGCACATAATAAAACTGTAAAATTTATGGGCACATGCTGCTGCAGTGGCCAAAAGTGTAAAGTATTTAGAAAAGAACTGAGAAATTTATGCAATGAAGGTTCCCCAGGCAGATCCAATGGCTGGCACAGAAAGTCAGCAACCCACCTATTCCTGGGCACCAGGGAGATGTTTTAGCACAATCTGGATGCTTTTCCTGTTCTTTTTTTCCCAAGATTGTTGATGGATGATGTACAGGGGGCTGCTGGTGTCACCTTGTGTTTGTGCTGAGACACCTGAGGGCAGCCTGGGCTCTCTGAGGTTGGTGTTTTGCCTTTGGGTTGATCATGCAATATTTACCTGACAATATTTCTGTGTCATAAGAGCCAAGAAGATCTGAATTATCTGGTTATATCCATATGTGCATGCATAGCATCTCCAGACCAATGATGCCTGTATATAATGGGCAATCTCACTCAGAAATGCTCAGTGCTTCCAGCCTCCCAACCATTCTGCAGGGAGCAGCTTGTAATTTAATAAAAGCACTGTTGTCAATCCTCCTCCCTCCCCAAACAGGCTTTTTGTGATGCTTAAATATAATACCAAGATAATTGCTTTGCCTGGCATCTCTAACACAAGATGCATTTCAGGCTTTTAAAGTCAGAGAGAAAACAAAAGTGTAAATCAAAATAATTATTTAAGGAAATATGAATGCACTGGAAAAGGGGAGGGAACACGATGAGGGGAAAAAAAAAATCATTTTCAAAGTCTGCACTGTCCTCATTCATTGGCTTAGAAATCAGCCCAGTGCTGCATCTTCAGTGGGTGCAACTTCATCACAAAATTATTTGATGCTGTTTATTTTACTGATTGAGTGCCCAGCCTGTTGTCTGTGAGCTCTGATTCTCCTTTAGGCCTCAGCCAAGATAAAAGCCTGGCCTTTCTCAGGTTCTTTATGTTTGTGCCATGTGAATGCTGATGATAAATTAAACAATTTTTCAGTTATTTGGAAAAAAAAAAACCTAACAAATTACATGTGGTTGAAAAGAGCATTTAAACACCCCAAAATTCATTTAAATGCTTCCATTGTGTTCACTGGTGGTTAGCACTTCTGGAATTAATTGGATTTAGATAGCCTTGTTACATGGAAATTCAGCCTCTTTTCAAATCCCTCTGCTACTCACTGGCCATAAAGAATAGCTTGGCCTCCTTTTCTCCATTTAATTATGACATTACACATTGCAAGGTAAACTTTAAGGATTGATGCCAACATTTTATTCAGTCCAGCAATGTTTGCCTCATATTCCTGTTTATTCCCCCATAATTTGTCTTTATAAAGCAATAGAAATCCCCTCTCTTGCCAAATGCCTCGTTTGTATGAATAATTAAATTGACAGTAAAGCACTCGATCCACCTCTTCATTATTCAAGTCTTCCCAAGTTGCAGCATTATTGATTCCAGTAAAATAATGCTGCAGTGGCCCAGGAACATGTGGTAAATCAGGCTGTGGGTACCCAGGGTTTGTTAAGCATTTTATAAAATATTGCTGGTTCATCCCTGTCCTTGGAAACCCCAGCCATGATCCACGGTCCTGTTGTGCCACAAATTGTCTTGGAAGACTGGGTCGCATATCACTGGCAGTGTTTTTATTCCTTATTTCCTTCCTTGCCTTTGTAAAAGTTTCTTTTTTCTCTGTCAAATCTGATGAAAGCTGGAAAGGGTCACATCTGAATTACCATGAACCATTTGGGGCATTTCTTTGCTATGTAAATGTAAAATAATGTTCATGGCATGTAACACACACATTTCTGTATTTTTTTGTCTCCTCTCCATGCATGAAGACTGAACCTGTGCCAACTTTCCTGAAGTTTCCTGGGCT